TGCGCTACTTCGAGGCCCAACAACTTAATAGTGAGGTGGAACGGTGGCGCCGGAGGAAGGAGAAGGAGACCAACTCAGGGCTGCGAATCCCACTCCCCTATGCAATAACATGCTCCCATTGCCAAAAAATTTGCATCCAGAATTGGGCTTCTCAGTCACCTGAAGACCCATGAAGCCTGGTAGACATCATCCTCGACTTCGAGGGACAGCCGCCAGACATTATACTTTTACTGGTATAAGTGATTGGAAACCAGTCTATACCCTTAACAGAACAGAAGTGTGACACACACAGACTGGCTTAAAAACAGTGGACCCCGGTCTAAGATTTGCCACCCTTCACCCCCCCAAGGGCAAATGCGTGATCTGTTCACCGTTGATCTAAACTACAGCACTTACAGAAAACTGCTTAACTTAGATTGATTCTTCTTTGAGCTTTTTGAATGTCTGTACTTAACCTAAGTGCTCATTGGTGACATGTAGGGGTGGACGCAGGTGCACATGCACCCCCAGAGCATGGCAGTGCACCCCTGCAAAAAGGTGCCTCCGACATTGCCGGCGGTGCCTGTGGGCAGTTACTGCTCACCATCCTCACCCACCACCAACAGCGCTGTGGCTGCCTGTGGGAGCTTATTGCCACCGACAGCACTGCTGCCACTGACAGAACTGCTGCCACATGTGGGAGCTCGCTGTGCCCTCCCCCAGCCTCCAGGGGCACACGGCATTCATGCTGGAAGGAACTCTGCAGGGTGCAGTAGTAGAGTACTTGATAGCACTAGTGGGTTGCCCCCTTTTATGTGGGCAAGCTTTTGGAGCACAGTTGACCTATGTTTTGTTGGCAAGTACTTGTGAAACCAATGACAGGGAGAGTGAGGCTTTGCAGGGGACTGCTCCAGGACTAGTCACAAACCTTCCTGTTCCCACTCAGCTTAGCTCCTTCTGCATGTTCTCATCCTTTCACTTCCCTGCTTACAGTGCCATTTTCCTCACCAGTGCCATTTTCCTCACCTCCCTTATCTTGACTGTCTTGCTCAACAAGGCCCAGTCCCTGCCCCCGCTCCTTTCTCATGTAATCTCATCCTGGAGTCCCTGAATTTAATTTGTTTTCTAGTTTTGCTCATTTTCCGCCTTTTCCTTCCCTACTTTGAAGAGCATTAGTTCATTTGAAGACATTATTATTATTATTATTATTATTATTATGCCTGCAGCCTACTGACAGACACAGTCAGTATAAAGTCAGAAGAAAGTCCTTTTTAATGCTGGTTTGGGATTTATTTGGTAGTGGAGCTATTTTCCTGCCTGTGTATGCAGTATAAATACATTTTTCACATCCTTGTTTTATTTACCTGTTTTAGTTCTGATGTATGGAGTAGAATTGCTCTTGGCAGCTATTGTATCCTGCTGTACAATGTAAATTTTTGTATTGCATCAATACAAACAAATGACACCCCCTGTCAAGCCTTTTGTATTCACTGCCAAATGAAGAAGTGGTTACTATTTGATTTGAAAACAGTACTGTAACGGATCTTGGTCCAGGAGAAGGCATCCAGTTATCTGTTTGGAGATAACACATTATAGTATTGGGGTGTTGCCCCATGAATGATTTCGTGGTACCTACAGCAATTTAAGTAAATTAGGATGAAGGCTGGTTTGGTGGTTTGAGCTACCATGGGCTTACTGGATGGGATGAGCAGCCCCTTAATGAATGAAAGCAAAATTAACAAGATAAAAGACGTGAAGTTGTTCCCTTGCTCCCAGCTTTTAAATGTATTTTGCCGCCGTAAAATTTGCATGAGTTAATTAATTTGTGAATTCTTTGTGTATTGTAGGACAGATCTTTTTTTCCATGGGAGTGATTATTAGATGGAAATGTGTGTAAGGGAAGGGGTTGTCTTCCAATAGGTTTGGTGTTTAGGCAAGTCAGCCTTTACTTCCATCATTGCTGTTATTGCTGTGGCACAAAAGTTTATCTGGTATGAACTATTTGATTCGTTGCTTTTTTGAAGGGGGAGTATATTCTCCCTATTATAGCTAGAGACTTGAGGATTCCCTATTTCTCTACCTGCCCCCAACTTTACATCACTTCTCTCTCAAACAAGGCCTCATGTCACAGTTATCGTTGTTATATCAGGACTGCCCCCTGAAGCTCATCAGTCTTGCCTACAGATTTTTTTGGAATGGCTCAATTTAATCATGTCAAAAGGGTAATACTGGCATATCTTCAGGTTTCGTACTAGAACCCATGCTTAATATATTACTGATTTGGCAAGGGGATGAAAAGTGGTGATGTAGCAACGTTTTGAAGAGGAAACAGTTATTCATGTTAGTGAGACGGAGAGAGGACTCTGAAGGACTTCAGACACCTAAAAAAGCAAAATGAATGGTCAGCATGTCAGCAGATGAAGTTCAGTCTTGATAAAGGAAAGACATTGTGGAGGGGAAAACATTAACTCCTCATATACTAAGCAAAAGTTCCAGATTATCAACAAGGAATGGGACCTGGGCATCAAAGAAAAGTTAGAACACATAAGGAATATGATGTACAATAGTTCATAAAAGCCAGAGGAGGCCAGACGTTACATAAAGTGTCTGGCCTCCTGGAATATTGTATGCCATGCTGGTCAATGGCTTCAAAGGTATAATACAGAAGTAGAGAGGTTGCAGAAAGGAGTAACAAAGGTGATTGGTAGCATGGGAAAAGTCTCTGAGGAAAAAATTCAAAAAGGACTGGGATCATGTTTTGCCTTAGACAAATGAGAGCAAGGAGATGTGATGCACATTTACAAAGTAATATATGCTGTGGAGAAGGAACTCGTATCCTGCCTGTTCTGTAACACAAGAATGTTTTTCATTGAAGCTGAAAGAGGTTAAATTCAAAATCAATGCTTAAACCTCCCGCTCCAGGGCTTCAGCTGGTCTCTGATACAGTGATTAGAATTAATCCTAATGGGCAGACTAATTTGCATCCACCCCTTGCATGGTTTTTACTCTTTCCTTTAAAGCACCTACGACTGACCACTGTTAGAACCAGGACACAGGATGAAATAGACTTCAGGTTTGAGCTACGTAGCAATGATGGCATGATAAAATTTAATGACAAAAGACAGTAGGCACTAAATATTGCCGTATCCATGGTTCCTTTTATTCAAGGAGCAAAGCACTGGGGGAGGTGTTGGATAAAGACTGGGTACTGTGGAAGAAATCAAACTTCACGTTGTGGTTGAATCAGAACCGACAGAGCCAGTTTTATTTTATTTAGGGCTATACTGTGATCACAGGGAG